GTAACATTAAAGGAAAATGACAAATGCGTGAGGAAATATGGAAAAAAAGATGGACACTAACGCACTCTTGGTGGAGTTATGAACTGGTCCAATGGCTCTGGGAGAACAATTTTTAACTATGCCCAAAGGGCTTTAAAACTGTGGATACAAATGCATGTCAATGATTATAAAGCTGTGGCAATGAATTGAAAATTGAGGGGATGTCTATGAAGTGAAATGGCACTTCAAGTCATGGCATATGATAGTGATGGAATATTATTATGCTATAAGGAATGATGAGCAGGCTGTTTTCGGGAACAAATGGGAATACTGATAAGTAAGTGAAGTGAGCAGGGTCAGAAGAATATGATGCAAAGTAACATTAGCATTGTAATGATGGTCAACCATAGAAGACTTAGCAGCTCTGATCAAGAAAATGATCCAAGATAGTTCCAAAAGACTCATGATAAAAAATGTTGCCCACCTCCAGAGAGTGAATTGATGAACTCTGAGGGCAGATTCAAGAATATTTTTTTCACTCTTTATTTTGTATTTTATTTGTGTTTTCTTTTACTACTAATATGGAAATATGTTTTGCATGACTTCACATGTATAATTGAAATCATATTGCTTGCCTTCCCAGTTGGAAGGGGTGCAGTCAGAGGGAGGGAGAAAATTTCAATTTCAAAATTAGAAAAAAGAATATTAATTTTAAAAATATAATTTGGAAACATTCAATGAAATAAAACATCAAAATAGTATTAGAAATGTATAAACACATTGAAGAAATGAGCTGAGGCTGGCTGAACCCTAAAGAAACATAATAGGCTTTGTTTTCATTATTGTAGCTGCTGCAGCAGCAGCAACAGAATCAGAAATTTTGTTGTTATAATATATTAGGGTAAAAAGGGACATTACAGAGGACTAGGCCTCCTACAAGTTGTGGATAAAGAAATGAGAATGAGGGCCCAAGAGAGGGCCCATTTTATTTTGCTTCTATATTCCAGTTCGCAGTAAGTCAATACATATTTTTAAGTATCTACTGTCTGTCAGGCACTGTGCTAAACATTGGGTACACAAAGAAAAATAAGACAGTGCCTGACCTGGAAGAGCTTGTCAAGATATCAGGAAGTACCCTGTTTTCCAGAGCTAAGGCCCAGAAAGCAAGCTATGCCCTGAGCTTTGCATAAGAACAACCCTTTGCACTCACCCTCCGGATCATGTCATCCACAGCAAAACCCTCGAATTGGGATTTATGAGTTTTAACTGTTTAGCCCTATTTCCCAGGGGACCCTTACTTAAGAGCTGGAACTTGCAGTCAACATACTACAACAGAGAGTGATCAATCACATCTCCTGACACACTGAACAATGCCTGTAACTGTAACTGCTTATTGAACTGAACCAGGTGCTGCATTCCTGTTCCCACCACGCTAACTCTGGTTCTGTAATCCATTGAATGGTCACAAGGCTCAACGATTCTAATAACTTAGAGGTTATTCCCACAGGGTCCAAAAATGTCTACATTATCTCAAAAGTGCCAACTATGGGATTTCATATTCATGACATGAAAATGACTGTGTTGGGTCCCACCTTTTTATGGTTTTTGTGCTTAAAAACCCTACCCTTGCCATAAGCCCTCCTCAGCATGACCTCCACCTGCAAACATTTTCTTCATTGTAAATTAAGCTTCTGTTTGATTTCTGGCCCTCCTGTCTCTAGCCTGCTTTGTTCAGCTCCAGCCACCCACAGGTTAGAGATGTTCCAATCTGGTTGACATGCTCAAAATCAAGTGGAAGAGGTAACACGCAAACAATTAAGTACAAACAAGGAAGGCAGTGATGAATCTGAGATAATTATCAGGGGGAATGCCCTAGAATTAAAAGGATTAGGAAAGGTTTCCTATTGAAGGCAAGGTTTTATCTGCGATTTGAAGGAAGTCAGGGAAGCCAGGAGGAAGACATGAGGAGCCAGAAAATTGCAGGCATCTGGGATACCAAGTGAAAATGGCTAGAGTTAGGACCTATACATAGAATAGCAAAGAGGCCAGCATCAATGGATCACAGAGCATGCATTCGGGTGTGTGCAGATAACTACAAAGGAAAGAAGCAAATAATAAACTGTTTAGAATTCAAAATATAACAGTTTATATTTGATCCTGAAGGTGATATGGAACCACTGGAGTGTGCTGTGAAAGGAGTGGTGACATGGTCAGATCTCTCCAATTAGATACATCGCGTTTTTTAGCTCAGGGGAGAATAGATAGGAATGGAGCCCTTGGGACAGCAAAAACTACCAGTGGGTAATTGCAGTAGTGATGAGTGGCTCCACCAAGGTGGTGACAGCATCAGAAGAGAAAAGGAGGCATGTGGAGGATATATTTAAAAGGTCTTGGCAACAGATTTGATATGGAGGGTGAGAGAGGGTGAGAATTTGAAGATGACAAGTAGGTTATGAGCCTGGGGTGCTAGAAGGAATATGGTTCCCTTGAACATAAATAGGGAGGTTTGAAAGTTTTGCAGGCAAAATGTTCTCAGATATGAGTTTAAGATGTATACAATACATTCAGTTTGGGATATCTAATAAATACTCAGAGACATCAGACTAAAACTGAACAAAGTTAAAGTTATATAAACAGATTTCAGAACTTTTGCCATAGAGCAGATAATTGAATACATGGGAACTGATGAATTCATCTATTGAAATAAAATAGGAGAAAAGAAGAGGATTTAGGACAGAGCATTTTGGGACACCCACACCATCAAAGCAACTGAGAAACAGCAGTCAGATATGTAAGAAAAGAATCAATAGAGAATAATTATAAAAACTTAGGGAGTAGTGAGTATCATAGAGGAGAGTGATTGCTAGAAAAATGTTATTTGGACATAAGGGAACAGAACAAATGTCACTAATAAGGAGTTCATATAGCCTATCAGATACACTATAGTCCCTGGTATTATTGTAGAGGAGAGGAAGACAAGGAGTAAATTGCTCAGCAAAGTTGGATCAAAGCATTTGACAATGATTGGTCTTTGACAATAATGCTGTGAATAAAAATGGATATGTGTGAGATTGACTGTGGTAAACCATAGTGGAATATGATTGGTTGAAAATATAGTGTGATCAGAGTTCTTATCTTTCCCAGTTGGTTGTGTTTATAATAAAGTTCTTATTATATAAATTGTTCTGATTGTGCTCACTTCATTTACATGAGTTCATTCAAGTTTTCCCTTTTTTTTTTTTTCTGAAACCATTCCCTTCATCATTTTTTACAGCACAATAATATTCCGTCACAATGATATGATGTAACTAACTAGTCCAACCATTTGGGCAATTGATTGGCATCCCTTCAGTTTTCAATTTTTGCTTCTACAAAGAGTGATTGTAAACAGTTCCAAAGGACTCAAAGAAACATGGTGTTCATTTTCAGATAGAAAAGAGATGGACTCAGAGTGCAGATTGAAGCACATTTTCTTTTCCCTCCCTCCCTCTCTTCTTCCTTCCTTCCTTCCTTCCTTTTTTCCTTTCCTTCTTTCTTTCTCTCCTTCTTTTCTCTCTTGCTTCTTCCTTCCTTCTTTTATCCTTTCTATCATTTTCCTTTATGTCTAATCAAGAATTTTGTTTTGGAATGATTTTACATATTACATATCATATTATATTTCCTCAATAAATGGACTGGCAGAACAATGAATGAAGAAATATACTGATTCATTTTTGGCAAGTATGAAACTGTGGTCTCGACAGTAGGGCAGACTTCCCTGTAGCCTTTGCCTCCAGAGACAAGGAGTGAACCTGCGTGGATCAACCCAATGCCATCAGTCTGGACTAAGACATTTTTTGTTTCGATGAGTTGCCCAGGTTAGAAGGCCATGGGTAGCATTCTCACTGAGCCACTATGAGAACCCAGACAATCTCATAAATTCTCACAACTCCATTCAATTTTTTCATGAAAATAGAATGATTTTTAGTTGAATAAAAAATGTACCATTAGTTATGCTGTATCATATTCATTTTTGGCTGGCTGCCAGCTATCAGTGACCCACCCTGGATCCATCCTGCACACTTGGATTAGTGGTCTGGCATAAGAAGTCATTTCCACATTTTGGGTTCTATTATTTTGCTTTTGGTAAAACAAAACAAAACAAATCAAAACTACCTAATAGACTAATTTCTTGTCACTGTCTTTCTAAGAGCTAATTACAAGAACTTGGGAAGTGATATAGTAGAAAAGTTAAACTGTGTTTAGAGAAAATGCCACTTAAATTGGTGCCTGTGTTACCATTGGCAAGTCATTTAACTTCACTGAGCTTCGATTTCCTCATTTCTAAAATGGGAAAATTATGTCTCTAGAATCCAATTGAAAGTAACTTTGTGCATAGGTAGAATTACACACATACACAACACACATAGCTCCTTGCAAAGCAAGGATCTATATAACGGCCAGCTATAAATTTCAGCAGCATCATTACTGTTATAATCTCCTTTAGACTTTTAGATAATTCACTCTCCTTTGCTTAACCTCAAGTTCTTCACATTTGTCAAATGATGGGGTTCAACTAAATGACCCTAACATCCCTTCCGGCTCTTCACACAATGGTAATCTGCTTTCTAATTATAATTTTGTGCAGGTAGAAGGTACAGTGATTATAATGTTCAATCTGCATTCAGGAATACTTGGGTTCAAATTCAGCTTCAGACATTTTATACCTGTGTGACACCAAGGAAGTCTCTTAACCTCTCTCTGCCTCACTTTCCTCAACAGTAAATTGAGGGTAACGACACCTATTCCACAAGGTTGTTGTGCATGTGAGATAATGTTTACAAAGTGCTTAGCATAGAGACTGAAGCATAGTGGATGTTTAATGAATTCTTCTTTCCCTAATCTTCCCAAGAAATTCTCTAAGTACATATCAATTTGTAATTAAATCTGATAATATCACTAACATGGCCCTAAAAGAAAGGACTTTCTCTACCTTTCCACATTATTGTTATTATTTTGTCAAAGTGAAATTAAGAACTGAATCAGTTATGCAGACTTTTCCAGATGATTGACCTCTTTGCAGCATTCTTCACCTCTTTGTTTCTCAGGCTATAAATTAGAGGGTTTAACATAGGTATTATGAGTGTATAAAATACAGCAGATATTTTCTCTTGTTCCATGGAATACTGAGAACTTGGTTGGATGTAACTGAAGGTCACGGAGCCATAGAACAACATCACAGCTGTCAAGTGGGATGCACAAGTAGAGAAGGCTTTGCGTCTTCCTGCAGCCGATCTGATGCTCAGGATAGCTATGATGATGTGGATGTAGGAAACCATGATGATTATGAAGGTAAACATTGCGATCACTCCAGAGAAGACTAAAAGTAACATTTCATTGATGAGTGCATCAGAACAAGAGAGCTTCAAAAGAGGGGGGATGTCACAGAAGTAATGATTTACCACATTGGGGCCACAGAAATTCAACCTAAGCAAACCAATTGTGTGGGTCAGTGAGTTAACTAAATCTCCTAAGTAGGAACCAAGAACCATCAAAATGCACACTCTTTGAGTCATAATAACTGTATAAAGCAATGGATTGGCAATGGCTACATAACGGTCATATGCCATCATAGATAGGAGGATGCCCTCAGTGGTGACATACACAGCAAAAAAGAAACTTTGTAAAACACAACTGGCAAATGAACTTGTTTTGTTCTCTACTAGAAAATTGACCAGCATCTTGGGAGCAAAAACAGTGGAGTAACAAATGTCACAGAAGGAAAGGTTACTGAGGAAGAAGTACATGGGGGGTGTGAAGTTGGACATTCATCCAGATAATTATGATCATCCCCCAATTCCCTACCAGAGTGACCATATAAATGACAAAGAAAATCAGAAAGAGAGGGACCTGCAATTCTGGGATTTCAGTCAGTCCCACAAGGAAGAATTCTTTCACAAAACTGGTGTGATTCCATGCTGCCATCTCCAACATTATTGTGTTAATGGTCCTTTTATATATCTAACAAAAGGACATCCAAGAATAAATAGTACTGATTTTTTTTTATGGAATCTTGTTTCCATAACAGGAGAAATTAGTTCAGATTATCCTATGAAAGAACAATAACAATTTGTTAATGATCGTTATGATTTTTTAAAAAAATTTTCCACTTTTTAAACTAGCTTTAGACAGAAATGATCATGTGATAAGTCACAGTGCTATTATTATTCATACATTTAATCTTAGCCAAAACCCAAGAAGTTATGCTATTTTTCTTTTACATTTAATGTCCTATCAAGTATTTCAAAGCACTTAAAATTACTTTCTATTTAATCTATAGTTGGAGACAGCTACTAAGACATAAATGCATCCTCTTTAAGTGACTAAAAGCATTTGCAAAAAACCTTCAATAGCTGACAGGATAAGTGTGATTATATATTCCTCATCTGGTTCCCACATAAGTTTGATTTCTTTTGCCTTGTTTGTAAAATTTTTTATCTAAAATGCTAAAATATTACAGACATCTGGGATAACTGTATATTTTTTGTAATGGATATTATGTCTTGATAATTATTTATGCTATTTTAGGCTGTGATAATTGCCCAGATTTGGTAGAATTTATTAAAAGAGTGCCCTCAGAACATTTTTAGTTTATGCCTTGGATTTTTCCTCTATTGACCGATGAGAGACAATGGTTTATGACAAACAGTTCTAGCTACCAGGCTATTTATTGGCAAGTATTCAGCAAGTACCAATTTTTTATAACCTGAAGTACTTTGTTATATAGTTTCTACCTTAAATATTTTTCATTGATCACCAATTCAGGTGCCCTTAATGACAACCATTCTGTGATTTCTGCTGGCAATGGCATGTTTTGGAATCATCATCATTAACTATTACATTCGAACAATAAAACAATCTGCGTGACTCAGTCATTTATTTGAAGTTTTACTGTCATGATCTTAATTCATTCTGTATTAGTTCATAAGTCTTATGATCTTCAGAATTGTTATTGCCATTTCATAATACATGATCATATAACATATCATTTTTTTATCCATTACCATTTGTATTCATTACACTTTAGTCATTAATTCATTGATATTCTTATTAATCCTTTACAAACAAAAAAAAATGTTATGCATATTTGACTTTGACCTACTTGTTGAAAGACTTGAAGTGAAATCTCTGGGTCAGCTTTTTTACAAGTTAGTTCATTTTAATTAAAAATAATGAATATTAATTTTATTTTATTTACTTATTGATCCACATGTACTATTCCCCTTCCAAAAAAAAGGAAAGCTATTCCAGCTTTGATTTTGTATTCCCCCTCCCTAACATTAAGCTTCACACATAGTAAATGTTTAATACGTTTTTAACTGAAAGATGGCATAGTTGATAGAGTGCCGGGCCTCAAGTCAGGAAAACTCTTTCTCATGAGTACAAAACCAGCCTCAGACACTTACTAGCTGTGTGACCCCTGCCAAGGCATTTAACTCTTTTTCCCTCAGTTTCCTTACCTGTAAGATTAGCTGGAGTAGGAAATGACAGAATACTTCAGTATCTTTACCAAGAAAACCCTAAATGGTGTCACAAAGAGTCAGATATAACTGAAAAAAAAAAAACTCCAGCTAAACAACACCAAAAGGGAAATGCCTGAAGCTTGTTCATCACTTCTTCCAAAGGTTATCACCTTCTTTTTAAAAGCATTTCCACTCAATATGACCAAGATATTCATACAAAATGTACATGGAGAGGTTAAATTAACTAATAGTTCAACTTTCCAGCAGTTTGATGTCTATAAGCCCTTCAATATTGCATACCATAGATTTGCTTAAATGATTATAGGCTTTTGTGTTGGGATTCACAGAGCCAAGGAAACACCACCACAAGAATGTTATTTGTTTGGTTTTAAGCTATTCTTTCAACACCAGTGGAAGAACTGCACAGTAAAATTCAACTACATACTAATAAGAAAGAGAAAAAAAATACATGAAAGATTGGGGTCTGACGTTCATTTTTCAGGGGAAATTGTTGTGGCCAGTGAGATGAAAAACTACAGATGCCTTTCCACGTCAAATAAAACCAGTTTGTATTTGACAATGCACTTGTGACCAATTTTTTCCCTTAATATACATGATAAAAACTTTGATGTAAAGTGTTCCTTTCACTAATGCACTGCCAGATATCTATTTTCACATACAACTGTACTATATTGCCTTATGATTTTCACCATCGACCTGATAAATATGACTCTTAACAAATTCCTTTGTAATACCCCCTTCCTTACCTTTCAATATAACAATCTTTCTCCTGAAAAAAAAAAAAAGATTTATTTTCTGATAATGTAGGTTTTATCAAAACTGGATTCTATCTCACAGTCAGTCAGTTGAACACTTATTATCTACTTATTATATCCCAAGAAGTGTGCTAAGAACTTTGTGAAGCAATTTTAGGTAATAACATAAGTTTAGGGTCCAAAAGGGACTCACAAGAAAATGCTGGACTACAATAACCCAGATTTTCCCTATTTTGTTTTTAATTGATTCTATCTGGCTCCAGGTTTAGATATAAGCAGATTAACATACATTAAACGTACCTATTTGGCTTGACCTTTCCATCAGCCATATTTCTTTTTTTTTTTAAATGAATATCTTATCCTTGTGTGTGTGTGTGTGTGTGTGTGTGTGTGACAGAGAGAGAGAGAGAGAGAGAGAGAGAGAGAGAGAGAGAGAGAGAGAGAGAGAGAGAGAGAGGAGAGATCAGCTACTCTGGCAGGCTGATGAAACTTATGAACAATTCTCAGAATACATTTTTTAAATGAATAAAGTATATAAAATGACAAAGTAAATTATTTTTATTAAAATTCAATTAAAATATTTTAAGTTCATGGAGCACAGTCAAGATTCAGACCCAAGTCTTATATGATTCCATTTTCACTACTGTTTACCACACTCAAATGACTAGGAAAACTGGAAGTTGATGACTGTGAATAAAATATAACGTCTGAAAAGTTAATGGGAATATTCTTGAATTCAAAAATAAATTCCTGACAAGTCACACACAGTCCCTTAAACATACGTAATATAGGGCATTCAAAAGTCCACTGGGAAAAACAATAAAATCACATCACTTCCAACATAAACTTCAGAGATCTCCACCTTGTCTCATGCTGAAACTGCAAAAAACAGAAACAAAAAAAAATCAACAAAAAAAACTGAGCGTATTTTGAATGAATGACTTGAAATAATTTAAAATGAATTCTTTGTGAAAAGAATTGTCCTAAATATTCTAGATACTAATAGAAAAAAAAAGACAGTTTATGCTCATTTGGGGATGATCAAACAATAAGCAGATTTTTTTTTCCAAAGCTCCAAAGTTACTTAATTCAAAGCTTGAGAAATTAGACTAGTAAAGGTATGGAAGCCTTAATTGAAATTATTCTCTTTTTAGATGTTTTCTTCTTTTTGGCTGTAAAGTGTGTCTCTATCTCCTTCTCCATCTCTCTATTTTCTCTGTAGTCAGAGAGACAGCCAAAACTATAGGCTGATCGTTGTGTGATTTTTTTTTTCCACTGAACCTTAGAAAAATCTTCTGGTATAGAATGAATTTTCTATGATCTACTTTAATGGAATGACGAGGGATGATTCTTTTTAAGAAATTTCATTATATGTAAACTGTCCAAGTTATACCACAGTTAATGTTTGCCCAAATCAAATACCTCACAAGCCAGTCCGAAGTTTTCTATGCAAAGTGATTGTATTTATCTGTGCTGAGGGTGAAAAGAGGAGCGGAGTGGAAAAAGAACCAATCAGAGTAAAGAGATGTGTAATTCTAACCCCAGCTCTGTAATCAATCCAGTATCCACCTTACAACAATTCACTGCCTCACTGGAAGTGATCAATGCACTCAATTGTAAAGTTCAGCATTTGAACTAAATTATCTATAATTAAATGCATTTTTTAATTGAATGACTATTTGTAAAGCACTGAATTAGACATCAGAGATACAAACAACAAGTGAGAACAAAACCATTATTCAATGAAGTTACATTCTATGGAGAAGATAAAAGTTACGTCGCTATTAAATAAAACTTAAGAGGTAAAGGGCATAAAAAAGATGGGTTCCCATCCAAGGAATCTCCCAATCTACTTCTGGGAGTGAGAAGATACAGCGTGGACCTCATGTGCTGCTGTTCATGGTCTGCTTAGATTGAGAGTTTGGGGCAGTTTTTGTTCTGGGGCTCTGCCACCTCTCCAAAAATATCATCCATGCCTATACCTTAATGTAAGACAAGCCAATTAAAGATAGATAACATAGTTCCATTGAGGAAAGAGAAAAAGAGGGTCTTGCTTATCTCTGTTTTCCAGGTGTGGGAGGCTAGAGAGACAGAGAGAAACAGACGGACAGAGATAGAGACAGAGTTAAAGACAGACAGAAATTGAGAGACAGAGATTGAGAGAGCCAGAAAGTATGACAGAGAGACAGAGACAGAGAGAATGAGAGACAAATAATGAGTGACAGAGACAGAGAGAGACAGAGAGGAAGGGAGAAAGAGATGGAAGGAAGGAGGGAGAGAAAGAAAAAAAGGAGAGATAAAGAGACAGAATCAGAGAGAAATAGAGAGATAGAGAAGTAGATACAGAGACACACTTCACAGCCAAAAGGAACAAGAACAAGATGGATACATAGAAAGACACAAAGACAATTAAGCCTGCTAGTACCTTAGTGGTAAAATCTTTCCTGTATGATTATTAGTTTTTCATTTAATTTTGTTCACATAAGTTTATCAGACATTGTAAAGACTTAACTATTTACCTTGTAATGAAACACAATGTTCTAGTTTAAAAATATGTACTTGTTCTAATATGAATATTCCTATATGATGGCTTTCTTTATTTTTTTCCCCTTATTTCTTTCTTCCTTGATCCTTTCTGTGTGTTTGGCCAAAAGTTGTAGGACATAGAAATTGGAAGGTGATGAAG